AGCACCTGAAATATATAGGTTTTAACATCATCCGGCGGCATGATTAACGCTGATGGGACAAAGATTTTGATCCCCATAGACCGATGCTCGTGATTCGGCTAAGTACGATCACGTGACTGATGTTATAAAGTTCCCTTGATTCCAAAGTACTTGACTTCTTCATAAAGTTAACTACTCACTCGTTTGCTGAAAACCCTTCGACAGCCCACNGCCCACGATTCTTCTTGGGTCTAATCAGGTAGGCGCAGTCCCCGAGTTTCCGTCAACCTTATGATCTACTTGAACACAAATTGCACTGTTTTCGAGAACTACACTCATTTGCAAATCAACTTGGCTTTCACAAGAGACGCAACTGAATCTCTCGTTTATGGTATTCTACAACTGAATGTGCTGCACACAGACCGATATTCGTGATATCACAGTATATTTTCATAAAGGAAACTACTCACAAGATTGCTGAAAACCCTTCGACAGCCCACGACCGGTTTCGCCCTTTCTTGGGCTTATCACGTAGGCGCAGTCCCCGAGTTTCCGTCAATCTTATGTTCTTCTTAGTGAAAGTTTAAAATGAAATGCCTGATGATAAATAAGCCTAGATCAGTCTGCGCGACTAGTTCACAAGTGGCCGTGATATCATCAAGGTTAGTAACGTGACGTTCTTTCAAGTGTCACTAATGCGCTCAGAACCCAAACAAGTGAACATTGCTAATCGTCCAGCTGTAACATACTGTCAGTGCTAGTTGCCATGTAATCCGAAGAAAGCACGGAGGCTGAGATATGTTCAGGCGCCCCAAGCCTGGACAGAAACAGTCAAGGTGTCAAAATTGATTTTCCACCACCTACCTTCTGGTCAGCCTTCATCGCCAAACAATCTTGAAGTCGACCGTTTGTAAGATTCCTCACAAACTCATAAACGGAACCTTTCTATGTGTGAATCAGAAGAAAAACGCACCTTGCCAAAGAGCTTAAGTCACTTTCCATGATTTAACAATAACGTTTCATCATATCTTTGTAGTTTTACGTAGGAAGGTTTTCACTTTGCCAAAATCAGCTGATGAATTAGTTTGCTTCTTTTTATTATCCAGACACACCTAACTTGTTGCGCTTGAATTTTGTTCTGGTTAGTGTTTGGTGGTATCTTTCTGACTTCTCGTCTTACTGCATTTTGTCCATAAACAGACGAGACACGAGAAACTACTGAAATTCAGTAGTTACCTGGCAATTTCCTCTTTCCTCCACCGTGAGAGATGTATTTGCCTTGGAGTTCCCACAGCTGAACTGCCAGTGGTGATGCACAGCAAAAACATCACCAACTTCCAGTTCGATGTGGCAGACGAATCTAAGTTCCACTTGTAGGAACCATAACCCAGTTTACTAAATAAAGTCAGAGATCTGTGTGGAGACAAGGCTATTTCTCAAATACGGTATCAAATGTTGTCTAAAGGAATGCCCCAAACAAAAAGTTCACCAAAATACCACGTAATTACTAGTGAAAGGAATGCTTTCGCTGCGGAGTCATTTATTAAAAAATGCCAACTGACCGGTTATAGACTACTGAACAGGGAAGCAAAACTCTCAGTTGCATCTTATTCACAAAAATTGGATATCCATCTTCTCTTGGACGCAGCTTCTTGAACATTCCTGGTCATTCATTGCCCAACTCCAAGCAAATGTTACAAAGTGACTCCACAAATCCCTCAACAGGTCTCCCCTTTTCAAGAGACGCGAAGCGAATTTACAAGAATCAAACATACTTCTCGCGTGCCTCCCCATCAGTAGTATCACCGCTACACTAGTTCAATGTAAAAATGACTAGTTTCCTGACATCGCTAAAGTTCCATACAAGATCCGCTGTGCAATGAACGGAACTGAAAAAGCGCAAAATCTGACATAAAGTAACGGCTTAGACTATATAAAAATTTTGATGGGCGAAAGTGCTTTTTATAACTCGTAAGTGACTTCGTCATAGAATTGTGATATCTGTTCCACAGCTACATGAATTTCCGGTATATATAAGGTGGTGACACGTTAGTTGTTAAATAGTTAGCCTATTCTCTTCACTAAAATTTAAGTTACAGTTAATTTTGCTGTTGATTTTATAAGTTCTCTAACGGTACTTCCAACTGTTGAGTATCCATATATACTGGCCAATCGGATCAAGGTCTTTCCGCGCGGTGGCTGTTTGTGGGGTGTCTTCCGTCCCTCATGAGATTACACATTCTGTGTAGTTGAATGTAACCGTATTACAGCTGACGGCACACAAGACCTACGAAATCAACCATCGACCCTCCCTGGATGTGGTGATTCCATGCCTTCACAACAAGGTGTTAATAAACTAAACTTTATGTGGGATACCTGAAGTTCGAATCCCGACGTGGATGAGAACAAGGGAATTAAAACTCGACTTTAACAGGACATCGCTATTATGTGAAGTCATAACTGTCTGTTGACTGTGGCAATATTGTGAATAAAAACGTTTGCATCAAATCATATTGTTCCTGCAAATAGCACAGTTTAGATGGTAATGAACATTGAAAAACCCATAGTTCCATGATCCTAATTGCTACTTCAAGGCGGGTACGTACTCCATTTGACTGGATTGCATAAAGTCTCACTCTATACCACAGAAAACTCAAAATGCACTCTGTTCCTCCTCGAACATTTCCTCAAGTGCTACAGGAGTTTCCAAACATTCGGACAAGAATCTCTTAAAATCACTATCAAACAAAAAAAAACGATACAATGTTCCAACTGAAAGAATTAGGCAGATTGTCGGTATGGGAATCCCTGATCGACACTAACAAAGCCATGCTATTCCCTGGGCAGATTTTCAATTATACAAATCTCTTAGCTTCATCTCAGTTACGCAACCAGCAGTCAATATATGTGGTTGCTATCTGTTTTGTCGACGAATAACCGATGGAACTGAATGGTATTGATGTCGTTCCCATGGTATTAGAGATAAATGATCGAACTTTGCTATTCATCCTGAACACAGAGAAATCAGCTAATTCTTTACATGCTTACGCACTTGGCAGTCAAAATCGAATTTCTGCTTGTTTTTTGGAGCGATGGAAGTTCGTGTGCGATGGAATAATTACAGCCCTGATATACAAATAGCAAGGAATATTGGGTAATTTTATTTATTCTATTGCGGGTGTTTTTCCATCTGCATTGACTTTGGAGTTATTTTTCGAGAAATTTTACATAATGACAACAGGCAGTATGGAAATATTTATTATGAGAGTTGACTACCCCGAATGGATTTTTGAAAAAAAAAACAAGGAGTCGCTCACCGTTTCCTCATGGAAATGATTTTTAACAGGTAGTGCGAAATACCACGCTGCTAATCAGCTGTTTGTGGCCAAATGGTCACATGATCCAACTACTAGCCGGAAGGTCACCGATTCGAGTTTTCTCAGAGTTTTATGAGATACCCACTGCCGTTGATTCCAGGTGAGGATGAAACAGCTGTGCAGAAGTTCTGGGTTTACCAACATAGACTAGTTTGTACAAAAAGTGCGGACTGATGTCCCACCCATTTTATCTGGGGGAGCTGCATTCCCGACCGGCAAGCGTCAGCGTGTTCGCCTATCTGAATCTTCATGAAATCAGATTTTGCCGGAAAGACAATAGTCCACTGTTGTTTCGCAGTCTTGAAAGAGAAAACCAAACGGGTGCATGCATCTTTCACTCATTCTCATGTCAGAGTGAAAAGCAGGCCTCCTCCACTGAGGCTTTGTTTCCCAGGCACGGCAAATTGTTCTCACAGCTTTGTTTACGAGAACAAAGCGCGCGTTTGCTTCCATTAGCGGCTGTGACACGGCGAGTCAGGTGCCTTACATTAAAAAACTTTCTTCATGGGTAGGACAAATGGTCCAACCGACTGACGGTGTATTGCCGCTTGACTGGGCACAGTGTATTTGTCTGTATTCTGGTGGCTTGTCATATTAGTCACAACGGATTAGCGTAGAAACAATATGGAATCTAAACTTTTCCACATTTTATGAGTTTGATTTTATTCCCTTGGTGGCTACCAACAGAACGTGATGGGTGAATTTGACGGGCACCAAAGTTTACCTATGGCAACGGCTCACCAATACAGAGAATATCGGCGATTGTACACTCATTCGCAAACAAATTTGGCTTTTCGAGAGACTCATCTGGAACTCAGCTGAATCTCTCTGCTTAGTGATGTTCTCAGGCAACTGAATGTGCTGCACCACGCCGCCCCATGTTTCAGTCGCTACGATAATCGAGATATCGCGATAGACGTATATCTTTATAATGTACTACTCATAAGGTTGCTGAAAACATAAAGTTGACGGAAACCCGGGGACTGCTGATGAGCCTCGAGAAGGGCGAAACCGGTGGTGGGCTGTCGATGGATTTTCAGCAACCTTATGAGTAGTACATTACACGGAGGATTTTAGTAGCGACAGTAATGAACTCATCTGTCCTGTTCTAGGAGCAGGTAAGCCAACCGTTGACACCAGGGCAACTGTCTCCCGAACTGGCAGGCTTCATCTGGTGTTTGTGTGACTATAATCTCTTCTCTTAAATTTGCTTACCGTTTGTTTGGGATTTCACTACGAATCACGTTGAGCCAGAGCAAATTTTGAAGTTGGCTAGGGGTTCTGAGATGTAAAATTTCCAGCTTTAACTTCCTGATAAGGCAACGTATGTTTTTTGGCCGGCGCTGGTTTCCCATGTATATTAGCTTAGTACTGCGATTAATGTCAGGATACCGAGATTCTCCAGATACCTCCATACTTAACGTGCAGTTATTTCTAACAGAATACTGCTCTTTGTATTGCACCATTCATAAGGTTGCTGAAAATTTGTCGATAGTCCAAGATTGGTTTCGCCCTTCTTGGGGTTGAGCAGGTAGGCGCAGTCCCCGAGCTTCCGTCAAAATTATGTCCTACTTGAAACCAAATTGCACGAAACTAGCGAAATACACTCATTTGCAAACTAATTTGGTTTTTTGAGAGACTCACCTGGAACCCAGCTGAATCTCTCGTTTCTGATGTTTCCAAGCAAAAGAATGTGCTTCACCAGGCCGCTTCATGTTTCACTAACTGCGATATTCGATTGTCGATTCCTTTAGCTGAAGTGATTTCGTGCAATTTTCTATCGCCTTACCATATTCTCCATCTTCAAAATTGTATTTGTTTCTTCTTCCGAACGCGTCAGCTTTTTCTGTGACTTCCATCAACACCATCGGACGGCAGATGCTGATGTCGGACCGGTTGGCTGGCAGTCAAAGATCGAATGAGTAAAAAGGCAGTGGTAGCACTTCGCATTCTCTTAGTAAAAGCACAGTCTTTGAAGAACTGTATGCGGACAAAATCAATAATGATCCACAAATTCATGAAACAGGTAATTTGTACAAGCCGCGGGATATACTTAGTGTGCTTAGGTAAGCAAAGAAAGATGAAATAGGGGAACGCAGCGTCATGTTAGCATGATACACTGGGAAGTTTATTGTTCCACGCTAGTAGGATGTACCTTCTTTGGGAAAAAAATTCCGCCATTATGTGGTTTGGTGCAATCTAAATGTCGACGGATTCGCATGGTACTAGAAACGTCACAAACGAGAGACTCAGCTGGGTTCTAGGCGAGTCTCTCGAAAAACCAAATTAGTTTGCAAATGAGTGTATTTCGGCAATCTGCCTTTATTTCTATGCGGAGTTGTGTTGGTAGCACAACATAGCTGGTAAACTGCTTGATCAGTGTTTCAGAGGAGTTTGACAAACAAGCGACAGTTTTTATTTGGACAACGTTTCGCTTTTGACACAAAGGTTCCATCAGGCCAAGTGAGCAGGTCACCAAATTGGCCAGGTTATAAGGCAGACGGGTAACCAATCAGTAAGTCAGTCCTCTTCAGATTATCACACTAGATCAGTGTTGAGTGTCAATTAACGGCTATTGTCGGTTAGTGAAGTTGTCAAAATCTTGCTTTATTGGATTGGGGAGGGGGGGTTAAATTAATTCCGATTGGGTTTGGTTCGTTAATCTTCCACTTCAGAGTGTTTCAGCTGATGATTCACCTCGTTTGCCACTGGTAGATTCTCCCTGGTATTTGTGGGGTCATGAGTTTGATGAGGGTGGAGATCAGACGATGACCACTTCCTTCCGATGACCGCACACCAACACGTGTCAGCTCGTCTGATCCAAAACCGTTCTCCACATGTTTGCCAGTTCCATAGCTTCTGTTCTGTTAACACCCGGATGCTTGGTGATTTCTACCGCCTCGGCGATCAGTCTGTGTGACGTGGACCGTAGTCCTCGCCTCAAAACCTCAACATTTTCTAGGTCTATTTTGTGTCCCGTGTCGAGTGCGTATGCCGCAATCGCCGAGTCTTTCAGTAACGCTTGATATTCATCTGCGTTTCTCGGCGGCCTGTTTATTTTTCTACTATGCTCTCCGAGTCTGACGTGTAGTTCCCTGTCCGTCTGTCCTATATAGACCTTGGTGCGGTCATTACACTTAACTTGATCATGTTTGATATTGATAATGTCCTGATCCATGGGTTGTGTGTGACAACCCAGATTTTGCGCTATCATGAAAGATTCAGATGGGGAGAATAGTGATGGATGCTTTTATTAGAAAAACGTTATTCAATCCGTTGAGAAATTGGTGAGCAGTTCATCCTAATGACTTTGAAAGCTTTATTCAAAAAACCGTCGTGTTGGTTGGAAAACTACAACCCTTCTGAACCGTCAATATCACCAAAACGTGCGTAGGGTTTGTTAGTGTTGGTTTTTATGACCATTTGAGGGTAAGAACTGACTGAGAGTTCTTGACCACAGTTAAAATCAGCAAACAAGCAGGATGTAATAATGTATAGAAACGCAAGAGTGGGTGCAACGAAAATCCACAATTCACCTCGGAAGGTCACGTGGACAAATTAGTGCGGAAGAATAGTAACAGATATCTGATTAAAGCAGAAAAACTCCGCCGGATTTTTTAAAATTAAGTTTTTTGTCCACTTTATCCACAGTGTTTTACTACTCATCATTATCATCATCGACAGCATGACATCAGTGTTCGGCACCATGATTTCTTTAGAAGCCTTTTTGTGAAGATAAGAATGAAGGTGGGCGGGCAAGGGACTTAGGGCTAGCCTAATACAATCTTTCCGAGGTGTCTACAATTCCAAACACTCATTCAGGCAATCTGGATAGAAACTGACAACAAGACCGCCACTGACATCGGTTAGAATCCATATCTCGCAGCGTCTCCAACCAGGCGCAGTGGGGATCACCATGTATAAATACGACGGAATACTCGAAAAAAGTGCAACTAAATTCCCCGTGCAATGGAACAACTCATCGCCATTAACTAAACTGTGAATTGATCCGCCAGAGTATGCGTACTACGATTATTTTATTGAAGTAATTCTTTTTTTCCAGAAACCATAAGCTACCGATTATAAAGTTGAGATTTCGAAAGGTATTAGTGTGAACGTTGTTGCAATCGAGGGGACGGAGTAGTCTCCGTGAGTACACTAAATCCTAGTGAATGACGAAATATGCGGATCTTGTCCGGGGATTCTCACGAAGAGAAACTCGTAATTTATCTATAATTCAACCGATGGTTAATTGTTTGCTTTATGTGTGGGTGAACAAACAAAAGGTACGAAACTCTTGACGAAACGATTTTGGGGAATTGCCACTTTTCTATATAGTAAACGCTACAGAAGCGATCTCACAGGTTTCCGTGATCAGAGATTTCTAATTCGCTGATGTATCGCATCGCAAGGATGTGCCACTGACGAAATTCTGTCTGGTAGGTTCGTGTAGAATTTTGAGAGAAATTTGGCACTTGTTCATCAGTTCTGACTGACGATACGCCTACTAAATCAGAAAGAAGCAGACTCAGTCTAAGAATGTCGCAACAGGTTTGGTGACGGCTGCCAAAACGCATCACTACAGGAAGATGGCCTCTTCAAAGCGATATCTCCCAAGTGCGCGCCACTGATAATTCCGGATTAAGATGAATTAGCTGCACTCCACTTCCTGGCTCCTCAGCACTGAGCGGCGTCAGTTATGCGAAGAAATCTCAGTTTAAACATCACCAAATATATCTTTCCTGAATGCCAGTCAGGCGTTCATTTTTGTTCTATAGAAAGCCATATTGACAAAATGGATCAGGTTTTCACGCAGATCAGATAATTGCTTTCTACAAACGTTGTAAGAGCCACACAAACACAACCAGACGGCACAATCACCCATGCGAATTACAGTTACATCAACGACTCAAATCTATTACAGAAAAAATAATTGCTTAGCTATCAACGACTCAAATCTATTACAGAAAAAAATAATCGTTTAGAATAACATCCTCAGGCTGCGTGGCGTTGATGCCACCAGGCGGAAGCACGGGACTAACGTAATGCCAGTTTATCCGAGTGTATACACAAAAAGAGCCCAGAAATTGTTCGATAAAAAAGAGAGACTTTGCGGCTTTGTTTATTCCAAAAGTACCTTACCTGCTTCCATCAGAAATTAGCGAAGTAACATTGGATGCGAACATAACTTATCGATCAGAAAGTGACTTCTATCTATCCAGTTTTGCTCCTGAGGTCTGTGCAGCCTACTGGATTTCAAGGCGCAGCCACACAGCCGGGCTATCCGAGGGCATTTCAACTTTACTAGCTTTGAACCCGCGCTCTGAGGTTCATTCCCTGCCAGGACGAAATGCGCACTAGGGATGAAACCATTTCAACGCACGGTAAGGTTAGATGCCGAGCCAAGGAATGGGCAACGAAAACACGAATCCAGCTAATCAGTAGAAATAATAATAGCGTTCAAGAATCCTGGCTCGCCTCAACTCAGTTCAACTCAATCGACACATTAACGGATGGACTGATTCTAAGTGGTGAGAAGCGGGTCTTCTTGCAGAGGAGCGTTGTGATTGACGTTGCAAACACTCTGTTTTTAGTAGGTTTGATATCCAATCCACCGGGTCGGTGGAAATCCCTGGGGAGCCAGAAGACCGGCATTTACAACGCACCATGAACTCTCAGGGTTCCGAATCCTGGTGTCCCCTAAACTCAGTTAAAACTGTGATTAACGTTTTCCCAGTGTTTCTTTTTGCGCAATGTAGTGATACATCGAAAAACATAAGTCACATCCGTGACCTGTTCTCTGCAGATATCCCAATATTCACAACATATATGCTGAAATCTGGAACGTAGATGTTCGCACCAGAGAATTCAATCCTTGTACCATACAGGATGATTATTTCAGTAATATTTTGGTCACAACCACATCACTCTCCCTTGACCGGTCGTTCTTGTGTTCTGGCGTAATTATTCCGATGAGACCACACCAAAGGGAAGCACTGGACTCGAGTTTCGCTCTTATAGAGCTCATCAGCAATGCATACCCAACGGCCATGCCGGGATTTTAACCCCGGACATTTGACATGTGAGGCGAGCGTGTAACCACTAGTACACCAACGCATGTTGGAGGCATCTGAACTTTCACGTCTGAACAGGCGAACGTGTTCACACTTGAGCGATGTGAGTGGTGTGCCCGACTCATCGAACGACGACCCACTAACTGTCCTAGTTGTGACAATCGATCGACCCGCCAGTCAGGACCTCGCAGTCAGGTAGCGCGCCACACGCTTCTTGATACACACTTTTGTCGACAGACCTAAATTTATAATTTTGAAAGTTGACTATTGCTTTTGTATGGCGTAAAATATAAAGTGATAGAGAGAAAAAAGCCCTCTAGTCTGATATCAGGTTTCCATGGGGCGATTACTGTTTACTAGCAGACAGATACTTCACGAAACTCGATGACGTACCATCCCAACTACACTACTTGTTAGACATATGGTGCCCTGAGTTGAACGGGATAAATAGATTGGACATTTGGACAGATTTACCAAAGGCCAAAGTGGTATACCGCGCGAGGAGCACCATTGGGAATAAAAGACTCCAACTGAATAGAATTTCCAGCCTAAGCAGAACCAGCCGCCTGCTGCATATCTTCTGTGGGAGATGCATTCATGATTAGTTTGTCTGGAAGGCGACTAGTTTAGATCCATCAAAT